GCAGGAGCGGTAAGGATTCATCACATAGTAAGCCTTGGAACCGGTATTTCAACAGTTCATACTGCTGATGGACAAAATCCTGCATTACCCACTATAAGGAATATACCATAGTTCCCATAGTTTAGAGTCCTTAGGGTCATGCAGGATTTTGTCCATCAACAGTATCAGTTGATCAAGAAGCCTTTGAGCTTCATACACACCGTATAGACCTCTCGCACAAACTCCGATAGAATCCTTGTTCCAACCCTGAAAGACACCCTGAAATCCAATAAGTTCGGCTCTATATTTAAGGCCCCTTATATTTTAAGCCCCAAAATCTGAACTGTAAAACAAAACAACGCCTGCAGCTGCAGCCGCTCCACCGGGTTGCCTTTGAGCCAAAGCTCGTTCAGGCTCCTGGCCGTCGAAGCACTCTTTTAAAACGGTTTAGGGTTTAGAGCTCCTTACAGGGATCTATAGAGTTCCTTACAGGGATCTATAGGATTTAGGGTTTAGGGACTCTTTTGCTCAAGGTCCGTATAGGGTTTAGGGTTTAGGATTTAGGCTTTAGGGACTCTTTTGCTCAAGGTCCGTAGGATTTAGGGTTTGGGGTTCTAGCCGGGACGGATTAGGTGCTCTGTAAGTCTTATGGGGCTGTATTCGGGCTTTATAGGTTTGTACGAGGTTTGGTAGGGTTCTATTTTATGAGGGCTGAACAGGTGCTTCCAGGAACAGGAGACTTAGCAGATGGGGTGTAAAAACAGTCGTAATCTACTTCCAGCATTCTGGCGAAGCTCCGGCCCCATGGAGACTTGGTTGCTGGTGCTGGCACTTGTACCGCAACATCTTCTTCAAGCTATGGGCCATTTCAAGGCAATTCCCAAAATCTGTCCGACGGCGACCCCCAACAGCTAGACGGGTTTTTGGCATTGGGGCTTAGGGCTTAGGGCTGTAGGTCTCAGAGCCAGATTTCGGGCTTGGTTTTTGTGTTAGGGTTTAAGGTTTAGGATTTTGGGGAGTGGAAGGGATCAGGCTCCTAGAGTGTTTGAACACTTAAGCTAGGATACCCAGTAACCTAAGAATAAAAAGGCCTCTCTTTTTGGTATTGGGTAACTTTATAAGGAACCTAGGACTACAAAAAGGGAATAAGGGTACTACTGGGCATCCTAGTTGTTTGAACACTTAAAGCATGCTTAACGTGGAGGGGGGAAATGAGGAGACCACTTTGAGTTTGAAATTTGGTCATGCAGTCGCCCAACTTGCCTGCAGAGTGGCTAGTTCCAAATGTATGGTTTGGGGTTTAGGGTTTTGGGTTCTTGCAAATGGGGTTACAGACCATTGAGTAATGGCTAGGACTCCTCTGTAGACTTCGCATGATCTGCACCAGCGCTTGCAAATGTAAAACCCTAAACCCCAAACCCTAAGCCCCTATAAACCCTAAAAAACACTAAAACCCTAAACCCAACGCCGCACTGGCCGGTTGAGGATTCAAACTCGGGGACTTGCGAGATGCGGCGTGGGAGGTCTGGGGCTCGGGGTACGTACAGTTTCGGGTTCAGGGGTTTAGGGATAATTAGGGTTAGAGGTTATGGGTTTAGGGTTCACTCGTTGAGGGCCTAGATTGTAAAGGTTCTGGGTTTAGTTTAGGGTACATTCGTTCTTGTGTGCTTGGGGTGTACTTAAAGGCTCATGGGACTTAGTAAGTAAGGTTATAAGTAGGTGACAATTAGGATAACCCCACTTAGAGGACTTACAACCCCAATTACAACCTACTTACTAAGTCCCGTGATCCTCTAAGTAGGCTTCAGAACCCGGGATTGAATTGAGGTCCTGATCGCCGAGCAGTAACCCTCGACCCCAATACCAACTGCCTAAACCCTAAACCCCACCAAGACTCCAATATACCCCAAATAGGGTTTCTAGTTCATGGTCGGGATAGGATTTATATTTTTATTCCTCATTGGCTGTAAGTACCCATAAAAATGTAAAACGTTACCCAACTATGACAAATGTTTAGGGAGGTCTAGCGTTTAGGGTATGGGGTTTAAGGGTTAACCCTTTACTGAAGGGCCCTAAGAACTCTATTCAGGGGGTTTTGGGGGGTGCCCTCCCTAAGCCCTAAACCCTATAGATCCCTTGTAACTAGCACCCTTATGGGTCCCTTTAAAGGAACCCTAAACCCTGAACCCCGAAGCCAAAACAGGCCGGACGACGGGCAAGCGATGATGGCTTCCGGGATCGAAGACCTGAAGAGATTAGGGTTTAGGGTTTACTTAAAGGCTCATGGGACTTAGTAAGTAAGGTTATATGTAGGTTACATTTAGGATAACCCCACTTAGGGGACTTATAACTCCAATTATAACCTACTTACTAAGTCCCATGATCCTCTAAGTAGGGTTTGCGCACCTGTTCACGGTTTCGGGCTTTGGGGTTTGGGGATTGGGGTTTAAGCCGAAAGCTTGCGCAGTATTGGGGTTAGGAAGCTCGGTTAGGCTGCACCCAACCCCGAGCCTCCAAAGCCCTGAACCGTCCCAAATCAAACTAAAACCGAAGTTTCGGACCGGGCCTCCGGCAGTTTTATACTAGAAGGTTTGGAGACTGAGTGCAGAAGGTTTGGAGACTGAGTGCCAGGCAAGTGGTTGTCAGCAGCATCCAGGTACTGCAACTTTGCGAGCCTGGGCTCAGGCTTTATGACTTGTTTTGCTGGTTTAGGGTTTATGTAGGGCTCTTCAGGCCTAAACCCTAAACCCTAAAACCAAAACCCTAAACCCTAAATCCTAAATCCGAAACCCTAAACCCCTAAATCCCTAAACCTTAAACCGAACGGTACGACACGGGTTCTACAAGAGTTTAGGAGCTTTTGGGTTGTCGGATTGGTGCAAGCACCCCCAACGTCACAAAGCGGCTTGCGCTTGTAGGGTTTAGCGTTTTTAGGGTTTAGGATTTAGGGGTTTAGGGTTTAGGGTTTCGGATTTAGGGTTTAGGGTTTTGGATTTAGGGTTAGGGTTTGGGGTTTCGGATTTAGGGTTTAGGTTTAGGGCTTCGGATTTAGGGTTCAAACTTCCTACTGGCCTGGCATTCCGGGTTGTGCCCGAATCGCAAACCCCAAGCCCTTAACACTAAACCCTGATGCCAACCCCAAAGCGAAACCCTACAGCTCCAGAGCTGTAAACCCTAAACCGTGCGCCCGGGAATCACGGGTGCGCTTCACGACTACAGGAAGGTGCACTAAAGGGCTTGTGACTGAGACTCCGATAAACTGCTAAAGGGTTTTCAGGCTTCAACCCTTGCTAGACCAAGCCGGTTCAGGCGCTACGAATTTAGGAGTTTCCGAAATAGTCTGATTTCTGTCACCTTCGCTTGTCTACATACCTGAACAGGGGAATTGGTAAGTGGGACTACAAGTTGGGTAAGTGTAACTACATTCCAGAGTTGCCTATGCACCGTTCAGACAGGGATCTGGGGTTTAATTGTCTGGTCTGGGGTTCAGGGGTTCAAGGGGTTTAGGGTTTAGGAACCAGGGGATTAGGCTTTAGGGTTGGGGTTTTGCGCTTACAGCGAACCCCAGAAAGTTGGAACATGGACCACCTAGGATGATTAGTGCCAGGATTCCCATGCTATGCATTACCACAAGGCCAAACCCTAAACTCTAAACCGATGTTCCAACTGCCTGGCTACAACAATATGGGCAGCCGTCAAAATTAGGGTCCCTTTTTTGGGTCCCTAATATAATACGGCACTCAGCAAGGGACCCTTATTTTGACAACCACCAATACTTAGAGGATCATGGGACTTAGTAAGTGGGTTATAATTGGGGTTATAATTCCCCTAAGTGGGGTCATCCTAATTATAACCTACTTATAACCTTACTTACTAAGTCCCATGAGCCTTCAAGTATGGGCTTGTGACGGTTTAGGACAACCTTGCCCTCCAAAACTCTGCCCAGCACCTTAGTTTTAAGGGTTTAGGGCTTTATTGAGCCGTGCAACTTTGATCAGAGTGAGGATTTCTGTATAACGTAAGGTATAAAATTAAGTTGATAGAAGAAGGATTGATGGAGTCTCTGGTTAATCCTTCAACCCAAGTCCCCAGCCTTCTTATATCCCTTTAGACATCTTTCAAATACAGGCATCTTAGCTAGAACAGGGTTTGGGGGCATAGTATGGGTTTATCAGGGAATACTGTCACTAATTCTTCCGACTTCACTGCTAGATCCCTCAAAGGGTGCCTTAAGACCGAACCAGGTTTCTGACCGTCCCAGTTCCGCGGGCAAAGCCGTCAGCCGATTCCGGGCAAGGACCAATCGCACCTGAAATTTGCGGATTGCGGCCTTGGGTTCGGGGATTCAGGTTTTTGGGGTGCATAAAGTGCTTTGGGGGTTTAGGATAGTCGCGTGGGTGCAGAGTTTACCACTAAACTATATCGGACGTCAAAGGGCTCGAGGGCTAAGGGTGCTTGCTTGTCCAGAAGCGTGTATCGAGATGAAGGATGTCGTGCTTTATCAGGACTAAATAAAATGGGTTTAGGAGGGGCTCGGGACAGCCTTACAGGACAGTGCTGCCTGTTTTTCGAGCTAGGAGAGCACGCAAGAGATAAAGCACTTAGAGGATCGTGGGAGTTAGTAAGTAAGGTTATAAGTTCCCTAAGTGGGGTTGCAAGCAATTATAAATATAGTTACCTTCATTATAACGTCGTTAGTTTATAAGTCCCATGATCCTCCAAGCATGCAGTCGCAGATCTACGACTTCGAAGTAAACGGCCTTCGAATGCAGCACGAGGCGTGATGAGACCCACGCGTGCAGGATCTGTGTGCGCAGAGCGAGTAAGACGCAACATCGGAAACTAGTGTGCAGTGGAAAACTCGTAATGGATGATACCTTATACATATATATATATATACATATACACAATTTTTTGTCAACATAAGTCTTTGGACATAAAGCTCGCCCAGAACATGCTTCCTCTGTGAGAGGATGCACCTAAATAGAACTTGTTTAAGTTCCTGCCCTGTACCGTGCTCCTCAGCGCTTCCGGGGCTTCTCGGCCCGCTCTCTCTCCTTCTCCTGCTGCTTGCGCCAGGCCACCGCTTGCTTCCAGGCCTTCTCCACCTCCTTCGGCGAGAAGTCCTTCGGGCGGAACCTCATGTTGCGTGTCTTGCCTCCAACCACGCAGCACGCATGCCACGCCTGCTCCCCACGGTTCCACCTAATCCCTGGCTGTGGCCCGAGCGGCTCGAAATTCGGGAGCTCCGAGAGCGGCTTCACGGGCACCACTCCGCCCTCGGATTCAACCCCCAACTCCTTGGCCAGGTCTCGGGCCCTGGCCTCCGCCTCCTCCTTCACCTTGAACATGCCACCATGGACCAGCTTCCTGGTGGAAGGGTTTGTCATTTGAACCCGAAAAGTTCCATCCTTCTTGTTGTACTTGATGCCCCTCACCGTGGAGCCAGAGGCCTTCCCCGTGATGGGTTTCGGTGGCTTCAGCTTGCCGAGGCGCACGAGCTCCTCGCGGAAAGCCTTGGCCTCCTCGAGGGCCGCCTCCGAGGCTTCGCCTTCGCTGAGGCCGAGCTTCATGTGCTTGGAGATGGGGAAGTTGAGCCTCTTCTGCTTGCCTGATACTTGCCAAGAAACCCGCCAGCTCGCCGTCTTTGTGTCCCAATAAATTCCCTGCACGCCGCTCTGGCGCTCCAGGCCGCGGAAGCTCCTCGTGACGACCTGAGCTCCCGGCTCCGGGCTCGTCGACTCCACGGGCTTCGGCTCGCCGGGCTCCGGGACGGAGCCCACGGACTCGAAGATCTCGAGGCCCTGCATGGCTGAGCCTCCTCCGGTCGGCGAGAGCTTCATCATGCCGTCCTCCACGAGCAGCCAGCCATTGCCGGCCCAAGCTCGCGTCGGAAGGTCCCGCATCCAAGGCCACATCTTCATGCACTCAGCTGCTCGGTGCTGATTGCCGGTTGAGCTCCTGTCGGCCTTTGGCCTGGATCCAGCAGTAGGCTCTGTCTGTCGCTCGCTGTTTGGGTCACTGCTGTCATGGAAGAGAGCATGGTGTGGATTCTCGCGGTAGAAGTCGCGCAACTCTCTGAACTGCTCTTTGCCGAGGAGCTGCACGCATGCTGTTGCTTTGTCTCTTACACATCCTTGCCACGGAGCGCCTGCTAATCCGAGAAAGGGGCTGGCCGGGCAGCAGGGCTTCGTGGGCAGCCACGTCTTGCCAGAGGATTGAAATGCTAGGCATTTCTCGGCCCACTCTGTCAATCGCGACCCGAAGGATGGAACGGAAACGTCAGGACTCTTCTGGCTCAATCGACGCCTCTTCGGCCCAGGCTGCTCGAAGTTCTCTTGCTTGACTTGCACCTGCTGCTCCTCATCCACTTTCTCCTGCTTTACGCCGGGCCTTAGATGGAAGGCAACATCAACACTTTCGCGAGCAAGATAGTATTGTCAGTAGGAAAAGCAGCACCGCGATCTCGAGTTCTACCACAGAGCTGGCACAGCAAGGAACAACACAGCCTAAGAACAGCATCGAAGAGTCACCACTCCAACAACCGGCCTTAACCTTAGCGAACTAGCCAACAAAGAGGTGTCTGGTTTCGGACGTCCACTGTAGGAGTGCAGGTCGTTCAGCATTGTGCGCCGGCTGCTTTGCAAACTGTGCCGATCCGTTAGCTTGTGCAAGGGCAGAAACGAGGGCTTAACGCAGAATGGAAGAGCTGAGTCTGATGTCGTTGCATGCAGCTGCGCAAATCTATACTGAACTTAGAACCCTAGCAAAAATTGAAATTTTAGCTGTTTCTTAGGGATTATAATAACCAAAAATAAAACTTATTTCTCTAAGTACCCCTAAGAAATGCGAGGTTGGACCAGCCCATGGCAACCCTGCCATGGCTCGAAGATACTGTTACAAGGCCGAAGCCTGGAACTGTAAACCTCAAGAACTTATGTACAGCACAGCTGCACCGAGAGCTTTCGATTCTGCCCACAGCCCTGTATCGCGTGGAAGAGACTCGCAGCACATAAGGTTCCCGACCGCGGTCAAGCCGCGACTCGCTTTGCCACTTCTTGTCCTCCGTGATAGGGGAGCCAGAACAAAAACTGCGAGAACGTTGCACTTGTCTGCAGAGCTGACTGAATATGCTTCTGCAGAGCCAGACCGCCGTTTGACACCATGAAAGCACCAAGACTCACGAAGCCCGTTGATTTGCAAAGTAAACATTGAACAAAAGGTGTGGAAGTTAAGCCCTGTAAACATCCTGTACACGTCACTCGCAGGTCTCTTCTTCAGCCCCCTGGATGCGAAAATCCGAGCCTCAAGCCAAACACATCACTCCCTCATAAACATGACGAGCCGTGATGCGCATCGTACTGATCGCAAGACTGCTGATACAGTACAACAGAGTTTCGAAGTTTCATCGCATCCAAAAACCTGGTGTCAACAACTAGAACTTCACTGAGTAAGATCGGACAACAGCGGTTTTATGGATGTCGCCCTACTTCGGGTGAACTACATCGATTGACGGCACCTGTCGCAAACGACATTGCAGCAGCATCGGCAATCGCAGGAACCTCAAAAAGCAAGCAATTCAAAATCCAACAAGCCAGCCGCACCGGAAGAACTGGGTTCCCATAGCCGAAACGCGAAATACAGACCCGAAACAAACCTTGCAGACAGGTCCACAAGCAGGGGTCCTCCTGCTTCACTTCACGCTTGATCTCAGTCTTGACCTTCCAAGTAAGATAGCACTCGCAAATGACCGCTCCATGTGTAGCTGCTCATCTTCTTTCTAATAGCTGTAAGCGTGTAAGCATGCACTGTAAGTCCAGACACCCTGCCACCCCGAAGCCGCTCTGAGCTGCCCCACTTAGAGGATCATGGGACTTATAATTAGGGTAACTATACTTGTAATTACTTATAACCCCACTTAGGGCACTTATAACCATACTTCCTAAGTCCCATGATCCTCCAGGTAGACCCTAAACCCTAAACCCTACAGATCCCTTTAAGGAACCCTATAGATCCCTTTAAGGAGCCCTTTGAGTGCCCCCTCAGGAGAGCTCAAGTCATGTTTACTCCGCTAGTCCATGGCCTTTTGTGTCCGACAGTGTTCTCGAAGCCTGACGACCTAGATAGGCTGCTTTCAGGGTTTCTTAAAAGGGATGTATAAGGGTTACTATAAGGGTATAGTATAGGGGCCTTAATGATGAGCCCTAAGGCCCCAAAGGGTTCCTTTCGGGGGTTCATATTAAGTACGTATCCTGTAATCCCCAAAAGGAACTACTTCGGGGCCTATGGGTAGCTAGCCCGGACAAAGGACGTACGACTGTACACATACGTACATACATACCTTGGTGCACATGAAGCCAACGGGTCGAGCATGCAGGGATCTAGGTCTCAGGGGTCCAGCATGGCCTCGTGTTTTTGGGACTTACACCTCTAGGTACGCATGGATGTGCACCAAGTGGCCTTTGTGCGCATTCTTCGGCGACAGCTGACGACCTCCATGACAGGATAGGCTTCGGGGTTTGGGGTTTAGGATCGAAGAGCTGTCCCCAAGACCTTAAGAAGTCACGCCTGACAAACCCTCTGCTGACAATCAACGTTAAACCAGGAACCCATCAATGGACCTGACAGCCTGTGTAAAGATCCCTCCACAGGCCTTTCAGATTAAAAGCACTTCGTGCAAAGTCACCAAGTCTAAGGACAAAAGGGACAACAGTATAGAACGCCTTCAGTATGTATAATGGCGTGGTTCCAGGGTAGACCCGTTCCAGGGCCACGCAACCATACCCCCGAACCCTCAACTGAAAAAGGATGCAGCACCGGACTGTTCAGGAACATCGAGGCCTACAGGTTTTAGGGTTTAGGGGTTTAGGGTTTAGGTTTTTTTTAGGGTTTAGGGTTTAGGGTTGAAGTAACTACTAACTAATACATTAATACGCTTCCCGATACGAGCTGTAAACATGTCTGAAGCACTTGTCGGATGGGGCTTCGCCGGGTCTCTTATTGTACCCAACCCGACGTGCTCATGATTAAACGTCGTGTTCTTGCTAGTTGAAACTTGCTCTCCCCAAGGAACATGTCACTGCTACAAGCTCCTTCCCCGGTGGTCTTCAGTCGCCTCGTCGCTCTCTTGCTTCACTTCCATGTCTGTATCTTTCGGAATCTCCTCCTTCACCTCCTGCTTGATATCCTTCAAGCACAGAGCTGACACAAGCTGGTTTTGCATTGTGCACACCGGCCAAGTGTCTGCTGCTAGTCAAAACAGGATTCTACTCACAATCTGCAGGGTCTCGAAACTCATGGATGAAGCGGAAACCCGTTCGGAACTGAAACCCCTGGGTCGCACCCTTTCACTAAGCAGCAATTGCAGCTTGTCATCTGGCTACCATGACCTGCACTCGATAAGTCCTCAGTCCCAAAAACCTGAAGCCTAAGTGCTGGGCCTCATGCCTTAAGTAGAAAACCTCAACCTGAAGCCTGCTAGGTCGGCTGGGATGCGAAAGTACACCCTGTCAGGGTTCCAGGTTTGGGGCAGAGAAAACCAGGATCTTGAAATCCATGAGCGGATAGATAAAACACTGAGAGCCCTAAATAGAGTTGGTTGTGTGCCATTCTTGATTGGTACGGTGAAATGAAAGACTGGCAGCCTAGCGTTGTGGCGTGACAACAACATCTTTCCACCATGGCACTCCCTCCAACCGGAAGCGACCCCGTCTCACAACTGAAGGAACCACACCGAATCCCGTGAGCCTTTCGTGTCGTCTCCTCCTTTACTTCCACCTTGATATCATTGGGTGACTCGTGTTTGATCTCTGTCTTTACCTGCTTCTGCACATTCATCGAAGCTTCCTCCTTCACTTCTCTCTTCATATCCTTCAGACATGCCGTGCTAATCAAGGGGCTCTAAAGTCGTTTAGGGGTTTAGGGTTTAGGGGTTTAGGGTTTAGGGGTTTAGGGTTTAGGGTCGGGTTGCTAAAGCCCGAGCCTCGAACCACCAGTCAAAGTTTTGTAAGTAACTGCAGCCCTCAGCGTGGAACGGTTTAGGATTCAGAGTTTCTAGGGATCTGAACCCACGCTGCAAGGCCAGACGATGGCAAGCGACCTGCAACCTTTCACAGTTACAACAGCTCTACAAATACAATCGTTCCTTGGTTGCTGTGCAAGAGCGAGCCGATGCTACAACTACTACATTGTGGATCATGGGACTTAGTAAGTAAGGGTATTAGCACCTCAAGCGAGGTCATATGCGTCTAGGTACCTTAATTGCAATCCTAGTTACTAAGTCCCATGATCCTCTGAGTACGTTATTTGGCATCGCATTGAAACACTCAGCCGATGCAATTTCTTGGTCTGACAGGGCTTGCTTCGCTTCAGTTCACGTCATGGTCGATGAACCCGACATCTTAAACACGCACGTGCTACCAGCTCTGGAAGTCCTTACTAGTTGCTATGGGCTGTTGTGGCCAAAACAAAGACGGAAGCAACAGAAGCTATCCCTAAACCCTATAAACCCTGAATCCCGATATCTTCAACCGTGCCGTGCAGGGATTCGTCCCACTCGGTTCCTTCAGCTCCAGCTTGGTCTCAGCTGCCTTCCCCGTGTGGCTTTCTTGCTCCTGCCACGACCATAACCTACCAACTAGGGCATGGAGAATCAAGTTGTGATAGCACTAGATGGAGCCGTGCTGTTGGGTTCTGGTTTGTGATGTTTGGGGCAGGAATGGTAGCAACATCCAGTGAAACGCGCTGGTGGCAGATGCCTGTCCGAAACCACAAACAAGACCCATCATGCATCTGCCTCCGACTCTTCCTTGACTTCATCCTTTACCTCCAATCCAGGCATTGGGTTTAGGGCTTTAGGGTTTGGGGTTCAGGGTTGAGGGCCTAGGGTTTAGGATTTAGGGCCATCAGGTCGCGGAGCTTCAAAGTGCGGAGGCTTGTGGCTACTTGCTGCATGCTTGCTTCTAAACACCGGATTGCGCATTGCAAGATGCCGCACTGTTCCGCCTTGTGACATGGGCTTCACTACACACTTCTGGCGACACCGATGTTCGTCAAGGTGCGTGGGTTAAGACACAAAGCCGCTACAAACACATACATCCTAGGATTTGCGTCCTGGCATGATGACTTCGAACCCTTTTTACCGACAACAGCAGCTCACAATAACAATTTCGAGGAGTTTTCCATTCGGTCCCCACCCCCCCGTTCCAGACCTGCCAGAAGTCGTCTTGAAGTTGGTCTTTACTTGTCTTTGAAAGGGAACTATAAGGGTTCCCATAAGGGATCTATAGGGGTACAGTGTTTTTACTTGAGCTTTAGGGTTTAGGGTTATTTACAGTGTAGGGTTGAAGGCTGCTTTGGCATTGACTTGCGCATGTCAGCTTGCCCGCCTCACTGCAGAGCAGGGATCTGTACTTTGTAAAGGACTATATAAGCGCACAAATGTCGAGCTTCTTCGCAGGAAGTGAAATGTCACGAGCCGGAGCCCCCTTGCTCAATCCCCCGTGCCTCCATCTCCTTCGTCACTTCTTGCTTTACTTTCCGAGGTCCGGCTAGCTCCTAGTGTAGGGTTTAGGGTTTAGGGGTTTGGGGTTTATAGGGTTTAGGGTATCCTGCGGTCTCTGTCTGTTTCGGGTTTAGCGTTTAAGGGTGCAAGATGGAAACAGTGAAGATTTCATGTCATGAAGTGGTGCAGACCTACCTGCTAGCACATCTGAAAACGATCCGGGGCGCTCATAACCCCAAGCTTGCAGACTGAACCTGAATCTGTAAGGGGACTGCGGATACTGTAAGAATACGATAAGGCATATATAAGGGTACTACAAGCGTTTGTAAGGTTAGTTTCAGGAGCTACATATGCCCAAGCGCCAACCCACCAACTCCCCAGAACTCTAAACCCTTTGCTCCTGGCTTTCAGCAGAATAGTCGCTTCTGCTTTCCTGACTATCTTTGAAGCTCCAGTGTGAGGAGTTCGATTTGTAAAAACTTGGTTCCGGGGAGCAAACCCGATGTAGAACACCCCAAGCCCGCAGGCCGTAAACCCTGAACACCTGACCCATGAACGCCAAAGCCACAATGCGACTCTTATATACACAGCTTCCATGCCGATGAACTCTAGACTAATCTACGATATCCTAAAGACTGAAACCCTAAACCAACATGTCTTACGCCTATTGAGGGTTCCTTGAAGGGCTCCTTTACAAAGGGTGCCTTTCAGTGATCTTTCAGGGTACTATACGGAGTTAGGGTCTAGAGCTTATGGGTTGGGGTCTAGGGCTTATACGGTTGTAGTAAGTTACTTGGTTCCTGAGTAGCCCCATTTTTATAAGGGTACCCGTACTCTTTTCCTACTAATTTTAACAAGGGGACCCTAAACTAGAAAGGGCAAAAGGGTACCGCCCAGGAACCGGGAACTATACTGAACTCAGAACCCTAGCAACAATTATACTTTTGCCGTTTCTTAGGGATTATAATGAACAAAAATTAAAAATCATTTCTAAGTACCCCTAAGGGAAGTAGAAGCCAGAAAATTGGAACATCAACGTCCTCATGCCTTTCTGGTGAAGTATAGGGGATCCCAGCACGATTCAAGAAAAGGCTCCTTAAAGGGATCTATAGGGTTCCTTAAATTACAGGGATCTATAGGGTTTAGGGTTTAGGGATTATAGGGGATCCCAGCACGATTCAAAGAACAAAAACAGGGACGCATCCAGCGTGCACAAGAGGAGACGATCACCCAATAATGTAACCATAACCTGAAGTAGAACTGGCAGGTGCGCTCAAAGAGGGCCACCTACTACCTACTGTTTACTAATTAAAATGATTAAAGACAGTGCGACATTGAGGGTTAAGGCTTTACTTAGCGGATCATGGGACTTAGTACAGTAAGTGGGCTATAATTGGGGTTATAAGTCCCCTAAGTGGGGTTATCCGAATTATAACCTACTTATAACCTTACTTACTAAGTCCCATGAGCCTTTAAGTAGGGTTCAGGCTTAGGGTGGGTGCTTGGGGGCCTTCGGCAGCCGCGTTGGACGAGGCTTGCGCTGCTTAGCAACCTTCACCGACAAAACGACCACCTCAGCGCCGGAAGCTTCTTACCTTTGGTTAGTAGGGAATGGAAGAATGGTAGTAATAGTAGTTATAATTGTACCCCATTCCTCCATTCCCTACTAACCCAAGGTAAGGCTTCGGACATGGTGTGCCTGGTAGGCTAGGGATTTACTGCTTTACTTTCAGGAAAACGCATCTCCTGTTCAGAGCAGGGCGAAACATCTCAAGTCACCAATATCCCCATGGCACCCTACTCAGCAAATCTAAGCTAAGCCCATTTCATGCAATTACGTACCAATAACCCTACACACTGAAACTCAGGACCCTAACACTACCAACCCCGAATCTCAGATCTTGCAAGTTTTCGGGTTGAGGGGCTAGGGTGTAAAAGAGTCAGGGCTAATTTTGTGGAGATGGCTGTGTGTTTTAGTGCGGATCTTGTGGAAACGTGTTCAGGAAAGTCGCATCCGCATTTGCGGAAGCCATGGCACGGTCTCTTGCAACAGTGGAATCTTGAGCCGGTCTGCATCCACGGTTTAAGGTTAGGGTTTAGGGTTTAGGGCTTAGGGTTTATATCTGCTCTTTTGAAGCAGAAAGCCATCGAATGCAGCGGGAGGCATGCAGGGATCCACGCTGGCCGGATTCGTGGGCGGTGTGGGACTGGATGGCAGACTTGGGCAGGGCGAGTTCGACATCACTGCTGCCTTTTTTTCGACATCACACAAGTCTTTGGACATGAAGCTCGCCCTGAACATGCCTCCACAAGGAGGGAATGCACATAAACAGGACTTGTTTAAGTTCCTGCGCTGTACCGTGCTGCTCAGCGCATCCGGGGCTTCTCGGCCCGCTCTCTCTGCTTCTCCTGCTGCTTTCGCCAGGCCACCGCCTGCTTCCAGGCCTTCTCCACCTCCTCCGGCGAGAAGTCCTTCGGGCGGAACCTCATGTTCCTGTTGCTTCCCGAGATGTTGCACTGGGCATGCCAGGCCTGCTCCCCACGGTTCCACTTGATCCCTGGCTGTGGCCCGAGCGGCTCGAAGTGCGGGAGCTCCGAGAGTGGCTTCACGGGCACCAGTTCTTCCTGCACTCCCAACTCCTTGGCCAGGTCCCGGGCCCTGGCCTCCGCCTCCTCCTTCACTTTGAACCTGCCTCCATCTACCCTCTTCGCATTGTTAGTGGCGGGGTCTCGTATTTGGACCCTCCAATTTCCCGCCTGTCTGTCGTAAAAAACACCTGTCACCGCCGAGTCGGACGCCTTCTCCGTGACGGGCTTCAGTGGCTTCAGCTTGCCGAGGCGCACGAGCTCCTCGCGGAAAGCCTTGGCCTCCTCGAGGGCCGTCTCCACAGCCTCGGCCTCGCTGAGCCCGAGCTTCATGTGTTTGGAGATGGGGAAGTGGAGCTGATTCTGCTTGCCGGCTACCCGCCATTGGACTCGCCAGCAGGCCTTCTCTCTCTTCCAGATGATTCCCTGGATGCCGCTCTGGCGCTCCAGGCCTCGGAAGTTCTTGGTGACGACTTCTTCGCCCTCAGCTCTGGGCTCCACCTGGCTCGTCGACTCCAAGGGCTTCTGCTCGCCGGGCTCCGGGACGGAGCCCACGGACTCGAAGATCTCGAGGCCTTGCATGGCGGAACCCCCTCCGGTCGGCGAGAGCTTCATCATGCCGTCCTCCACGAGTAGCCAGCCATTGCCGGCCCAAGCTCGCGTGGGAAGATCCCGCATCCAAGGCCACATCTTCATGCACTCAGCTGCTCGGTGCTGATTGCCGGTTGAGCTCCTGTGGGCCTCCGGCCTGCATCCAGCAGTAGGCTCTGTCTGTCGCTCGCTGTTTGGGTCACTGCTGTCATGGAAGAGAGCATGGTGTGGATTCTCGCGGTAGAAGTCGCGCAACTCTCTGAACTGCTCTTTGCCGAGGAGCTGCACGCATGCTGTTGCTTTGTCTCTTACACATCCTTGCCACGGAGCGCCTGCTAATCCGAGAAACGGGCTGGCCGGGCAGCAGGGCTTCGTGGGCAGCCACGTCTTGCCAGAGGATTGAAATGCTAGGCATTTCTCGGCCCACTCTGTCAATCGCGACCCGAAGGATGGAACGGAAACGTCAGGACTCTTCTGGCTCAATCGACGCCTCTTCGGCCCAGGCTGCTCGAAGTTCTCTTGCTTGACTTGCACCTGCTGCTCCTCATCCACTTTCTCCTGCTTTACGCCGGTCCTTAGATGGAAGGCAACATCAACACTTTCGCGACCAAGATAGTATTGTCAGTAGGAAAAGCAGCACCGCGATCTCGAGTTCTACCACAGAACTGGCACAGCAAGGAACAACACAGCCTAAGAACAGCATCGAAGAGTCACCACTCCAACAACCGGCCTTAACCTTAGCGAACTAGCCAACAAAGAGGTGTCTGGTTTCGGACGTCCACTGTAGGAGTGCAGGTCATTCAGCATTGTGCGCCGGCTGCTTTGCAAACTGTGCCGATCCGTTAGCTTGTGCAAGGGCAGAAACGAGGGCTTAACGCAGAATGGAAGAGCTGAGTCTGATGTCGTTGCATGCAGCTGCGCAAATCTATACTGAACTTAGAACCCTAGTTGAAATTTTAGCTGTTTCTTAGGGATTATAATAACCAAAATTAAAACTTATTTCTCTACGTACCCCTAAGACATGCGAGGTTGGACCAGCCCATGGCAACCCTGCCATGGCTCGAAGATACTGTTACAAGGCCGAAGCCTGGAACTGTAAACCTCAAGAACTTAGGGTAGAAGCCAGAAAGTTGGAACATCATTCTCCTCATGCCCTTAAAGTAAAGTATAAGGGATCCTAGCACTAATCCTCCTAAATCCATGTTCCAACTTTCTGGCTTCTACTGTACAGCACAGCTGCACCGAGAGCTTTCGATTCTGCCCACAGCCCTGTATCGCGTGGAAGAGACTCGCAGCATATAAGGTTCCCGACCGCGGCCAAGCCGCGACTCGCTTTGCCACTTCTTGTCCTCCGTGATAGGGGAGCCAGAACAAAAACTGCGCATGAGAACGTTGCACTTGTCTGCAGAGCTGACTGAATATGCTTCTGCAGAGCTAGACCGCGGCTTGACACCATGAAAGCACTAAGACTCACGAAGCCCGTTGATTTGTAAAGTAAACATCGAGCAAAAGGTGTGGAAGTTAAGCCCTGCAAACATCCTGTACACGTCACTCGCAGGTCTCTTCCTCAGCCCCCTGGATGCGAACATCCGAGCCTCAAGTCCTAAACCCTAAACCCTAAACCCTAAACCCAAAACCCTAAACCCAAAACCCTAAACCGTAAACCCTAAACCCAAAACCATAAACCCAAAACCCTAAACCCTAAACCCTAAACCCAAAACCCTAAACCCAAAACCCAAAACCCTAAACCCTAAACCCTAGCCAAACACATCACGACCTCATAAACATGACGAGCCGCGATGCGCATCGTACGGATCGCAAGACTGCTGATATTATGGGAGGGGGGTATATAACCCAATAGTTCCTTTTTCTCCCTAGTACTCCCTAAGGTTCCCTAAGGCTCCCTAAGGTTCCCTAGTACCCTCCCCCCTTGAACCCCCCTCCCTTAAGGATCCTATAATGATACAGCACAACAAGAGTTCCGAAGCTTCATCGCATCGAGAGAACCTGGTGTCAACAACTAGAACTTCACTGAGTAAGATCGGACAACACCGATTGTGTAGATATCGTCCTACTTCGGGTGAACTACAACGATTGACGGCACCTGTCGCAAACGACATTGCAGCAGCATCGGCAATCGCAGGAATCTCAAAAAGCAAGCAATTCAAAATCCAACAAGCCAGCCGCACCGGAAGAACTGGGTTCCCATAGCCGAAACTCAAGATGTAAACCCGAAACAAACCGTGCAGACAGGTCCACAAGCAGGGGTCCTCCTGCTTCACTTCACGCTTGATCTCAGTCTTGACCTTCCAAGTAAGATAGCACTCGCAAATGACCGCTCCATGTGTAGCTGCTCATCTTCTGTCTACTAGCTGTAAGCGTGTAAGCATGCACTGTAAGTCCAGACACCCTGCCACCCCGAAGCCACTCTGAGGTGCCCTACTTGGAGGATCATGGGACTTAGTAACTAGGGTTATTATAATTAAGTGCCCTACTTGGAGGATCATGGGACTTAGTAACTACGGTTATAACTAAGGTAACTACACTTAGAATTGCTTATAACCCCACTTAGGGTACTCATAACCTTACTTGCTAAGTCCTATGATCCTCGAAGTAGGAGAGCTAAAGTCATGTTTACTCTGCTACATAAAGGCTCATGGGACTTAGTAAGTAAGGTTATAAGTAGGTTATAATTCGGATAACCCCACTTAGGGGACTTATTATAACCCCAATTATAACCTACTTACTAAGTCCCATGATCCTCTAAGTAGTGCATGGCCTTTTGTGTCCGACAGTGTTCTCGAAGCCTGAAGACCTACCCTAAGGCCCCAAAGTGGTTCCTTTTGGGGGTTCATATTAAGAATCCTATAAGGTAATCCCCAAAAGGAACTACTTTGGGGCCTATGGGTAGATAACCCGGACAAAGGACGTACGACTGTACACATACGTACATACATACCTGCGTGCACATGAAGCCAACGGGTCTAGCATGCAGGGATCTAGGTCTTTGGGGTCCGGCATGGCTTCGTGTTTGTGGGACTTACACCTCTAGGTACACATGGATCTGCACCAAGTGGCCTTTGTGCGCATTCTTCGGCGACAGCTGACGACCTGCATGACAGGATAGGCTTCGGGAATTGGGGTTTAGGGTCGAAGAGTTGTCCCCAAGACCTTAAGACTTAAGAAGTCACGCCTGACAAACCCTCTGCTGACAATCCAGGAACCCAGCAATGGACCTGACAGCCAGTATAAAGATCCCTCCACAGGCCTTTCAAACTGAAAGCACTTCGTGCAAAGTCCCCAGGTCTAAGGACAAAAGGGACAACAGTATAGAACGCCTTCACTATGTATAATAATGTGGTTCCAAGGTAGACCCGTTCCAAGGCCATGCAACCATACCACCGAACCCTCAACTGAAAAAGGATGCAGCAGCGCATTGTTCCGGAACACCAAGGCCTGTTGGTGAGCTAGCCCAATGTGTAACTACTAACTAATAAATTAATACGCTTCCCGATACGAGCTGTAAACATGTCTGAAGCACTTGTCGGATGGGGCTTCGCCGGGTCTCTTATTGTACTCAACCCGACTATATCTCCAATGATCATGGTTAAACGTCGTGTGCTTGCTAGTTGAAACTTGCTCCCCACAAGGAGCATTGTACTGCTACAAGCTCCTTCCCCGGGTCTTCAGTCGCCTCGTTGCTCTCTTGCTTCACTTCCATGTCTGTATCTTTCGGAATCTCCTCCTTCACCTCCTGCTTGATATCCTTCAAGCGCAGAGCTGACGCAAGCTGGTTTTGCATTGTGCACACCGGCCAAGTGTCTGCTGCTAGTCAAAACAGGATTCTACTTACAATCTGCAGGGTCTCGAAACTCGTGGATGTCGCGGAAACACGTTCGGAACTGAAACCCCTGGGTCGCACCCCTTCACTAAGCAGCAATTGCAGCTTGTCATCTGGCTACCATGACCTGCACTCTATAAAGGGAACTCCAGAAAGTTGGAATATGGTTTCAGGGTAGGATACCCTATAATTTACCATAAAGGGTTTAGGATAATCATATTCCAACTTTCTGGCTTTTACTCTAAGTCCTCAGTCCCGACACCCCGGAAGCCCAAGCGCTGGGCCTCATGCCTTAAGTAGCAAACCTCAACCTGAAGCCTACTACATGGTTCCTTAAAGGGCTCCTTAAAGGGATGTAGAGGTTCCTTAAAGGGATCTCTAGGGTTTATATAGGGTTTAGCGTCTACTTAGAGGATCAGGGGACTTAGTAAGTAGGTTATAATTGGGGTTATAAGTCCCCTAAGGTGGTTTATCCTAATTATAACCTACTTATAACCTTACTTACTAAGTCCCATGAGCCTTTAAGTAGGTCGGCTGTGATGCGAAAGTACACCCTGTCAGGGTTCCAGGTTTGGGGCAGAGAAAACCAGGATCTTGAATTCCATGAGCGGATAGATAAAACACTGAGAGCCCTAAATAGAGTTGGTTGCGTGCCATTCTTGATTGGTACGGTGAAATGAAAGACTGGCAGCCTAGCGTTGTGGCTTGACAACAACATCTTTCCACCATGGCACTCCCTTCAACCGGAAGCGCCCCGTCTCACAACCGAAGGAACCACACCGACTCCCATGAGCCTTTCGTGTCGTCTCCTCCTTTACTTCCACCTTGACATCATTGGGCGACTCGTGTTTGATCTCTGTCTTTACCTTCTTCTGCACATCATTCGAAGCTTCCTCCTTCACTTCTCTCTTCATATCCTTCAGGCATGCCGTGCTGATCAAGGGGCTCTAAAGTCGTTTAGGGTTTAGGGGTTTAGGGTTTAGGGTCGGGTTGCTAAAGCCCGAAACTCGAACCATCAGTCAAAGTTTTGTAAGTAACTGCAGCCCTCAGCGTGGAACGGTTTAGGATTTAGAGTTTCTAGGGATCTGAACCCACACTGCAAGGCCAGACGACGGCAAGCGACCTGCAACCTTTCACAGTTACAACAGCTCTACAAATACAATCGTTCCTTGGTTGCTGTGCAAGAGCGAGCCGATGCTACAACTACTACATTGTGGATCATGGGACTTAGTAAGTAAGGGTATTAGCACCTTAAGTGAGGTCATATGCGTCTAGGTACCTTAATTGCAATCCTAGTTACTAAGTCCCATGATCCTCTGAGTACGTTATTTGGCATCGCATTGAAACACTCAGCCGATGCACTTTCTTGGTCTGACAGGGCTTGCTTCGCTTCAGTTCACGTCATGGTCGATGAACCCGACATCTTAAACACGCACGTGCTACCAGCTCTGGAAGTCCTTACTAGTTGCTATGGGCTGTTGTGGCCAAAACAAAGACGGAAGCAACAGAAGCTATCCCTAAACCCTATAAACCCTGAATCCCGATATCTTCAACCGTGCAGGGATTCGTCCCACTCGGTTCCTTCAGCTCCAGCTTGGTCTCAGCTGCCTTCCCCGTCTGGCTTTCTTGCTCCTGCCACGACCATAACCTACCAACTAGGGCATGGAGAATCAAGTTGTGATAGCACTAGATGGAGCTGTGCTGTTGGGTTCTGGTTTGTGATGTTTGGGGCAGGAATGGTAGCAACATCAAGTGAAACGCGCTGGTGGCAGATGCCTGTCCGAAACCACAAACAAGACCCATCATGCATCTGCCTCCGACTCTTCCTTGACTTCATCCTTCACCTCCAATCCAGGCATTGGGTTTAGGGCTTTAGGGTTTGGGGTTCAGGGTTGAGGGCCTAGGGTTTAGGATTTAGGGCCATCAGGTCGCGGAGCTTCAAAGTGCGGAGGCTTGTGCCTACTTGCTGCATGCTTGCTTCTAAACACCGGATTGCGCATTGCAAGATGCCTAAACACTTCTGGCGACACCGATGTTCGTCAAGGTGCGTGGGTTAAGACACAAAGCCGCTACAAACACATACATCCTAGGATTTGTGTCCTGGCATGATGACTTCGAACCCTTTCTACCGACAACAGCAGCTCACAATAACAATTTCGAGGAGTTTTCCATTCGGTCCCCACCCCCCCGTTCCAGACCTGCCAGAAGTCGTCTTGAAGTTGGTCTTTACTTGTCTTTGAAAGGGAACTATAAGGGTTCCCATAAGAGATCTATAGGGGTACAGTGTTTTTACTTGAGCTTTAGGGTTTAGGGTTATTTACAGTGTAGGGTTGAAGGCTGCTTTGGCATTGACTTGCGCATGTCAGCTTGCCAGCCTCACTGCAGAGCAGGGATCTGTACTTTGTAAAGGACTATATAAGCGCACAAATGTCGAGCTTCTTCGCAGGAAGTGAAATGTCATGAGCCGGAGCCCCCTTGCTCAATCCCCCGTGCCTCCATCTCCTTCGTCACTTCTTGCTTTACTTTCCGAGGTCCGGCTAGCTCCTAGTGTAGGGTTTAGGGTTTAGGGGTTTGGGGTTCACAGGGTTTAGTGTATCCTGCGGTCTCTGTCTGTTTGAGTTTAGGGTTTAGGCTTTAAGGGTTCAAGATGGAAACAGTGAAGATTTGATGTCATGAAGTGGTGCAGACCTACCTGCTAGCACGTCTGAAAACGATCCGGGGCGCTCATAACCCCGAGCTTCAAGACTGAACCTGAATCTGTCAGGGGACTACGGATACTACACAAGTACGATGAGGCATTATATAAGGGTACTACAAGCGTTTGTGAGGTTAATTTAAGGAGCTACATATGCCATATGCCCAAGCGCCAACCCACCAACTCCCCGCCTTCTCAGTCTCATCATAGGGATCCTTAGGGGTGTAGGGGGGAGGGGTGTAGCGGACTATATTTCCTTAAATAGGCCTTATTAGTCCTTATTATGGGCCTTAAGGCCCCCTACCCCCCCTCCCCCTACACCCCTAAGGATCCCTATGATCTCAACCCAGGGCCCAGAACTCTAACCCTTTGCTCCTGGCTTTCAGCAGAATAGGGTTTAGGGTTTAGGGTTTAGGGCTTTCCTGACTATCTTTGAAGCTTGAGTGTGAGGAGTTCGCTTTGTAAACTTGGTTCCGGAGAGAAACCCCGATGTAGAACACCCCCATGAACGCCAAAGCCACAATAGGACTCTTATATACACAACCTGCATCCCAATACGACGATGAACTCTAGACTAATCCACGATATCCTAAAGACTGGAACCCTAAACCAACATGTCTTACGCCTATTAAGGGTTCCTTGAAGGGCTCCTTTACAAAGGGTGCCTTTCAGTGATCTTGCGGGGTACTATGCGGAGTTAGGGTGTAGAGCTTATGGGTTGTAGAGTCTAGGGCTTATATGGTTGTAGTAAGTTACTTGGTTCCTGAGTAGCCCCACTTTTATAAGGGTACACGTACCCTTTTCCTACTAATTTTAACCAGGGAACCTAAAATAGAAAGGGCAAAAGGGTACCACTCAGGAACCGGGAAGTAGAAGCCAGAAAATTGGAACATCAATGTCCTCATGCCCTTCTGGTGAAGTATAGGGGATCCCAGCACGATTCAAAAAACAAAAACATGGCCGCATCCAGCGTGCACAAGAGGAGACGTTCACCCAATAATGTAAACATAACCTGAAGTAGAACTGGCAGGTGCGCTCAAAGAGGGCCACCTACTTTTACTGATTAAAATGATTAAAGACATGGCGACATTGGGCCTTCGGCAGCCGCGTTGGACGAGGCTTGCGCTGCTTAGCAACCTTCACCGACAAAACGACCACCTCAGCGCCGGAAGCTTAGGACACGGTACTCTCGGTGGTGTGCCTGGTAGGCTAAGGATATACTGCTTTACTGCTTTCAGGAAAACGCATCTGCTGTTCAGAGCGTGGCGAAACCCCATGGCACCCTACCTATATACACTCAGCAAAATCCTAAGATAAACCCATTTCATGAAATTACGTACCAATAACCTTACAGACTGAAACTCAGAACCCTAACACTACCAACCCCGAATCTCAGATCTTGCAAGCTTTCGGGTTGAGAAGCCAGGGTGTAGTGGAGTTAAGGCTAGTTTTGTGGAGATGGCTGTGCGTTTTAGTGCGGATCTTGTGGATGGGCCTTCTCTGATAATCCACTACGACTTGCGATCCTTGTTATGCTAGACTACTCCTGTGGAGTAGGATTGAGGAATGTAGGGACTAGGATTGCGAGAGGTTTGAACCTGGAGGGTGGTACCCTATCCTTTTGGTACACGAGCTGAACTTTCTATACTACCTGCTTACTTGTGGCGCTTGTACGGTGAAAAACCTCCGTGGACGGAGAATCCGGCGATGTCCGGCCATCGCCCGTTCATACTGCATAACATCTGTGGCGCGACAACTGGTGCATCTGGATTGCACCCTGAGGGCACGTACTCCGAGCCGCCGGACCCTGAAACTGCGAAGCCCTTGAGAAAAACCCTGAGACAACAGGGGTTCAAGCGGTCGACATGTCCGTTCCGTATGGTTTTGGGTGCCTGAATAGGATCCGAAGTCCTGAAAGAAAGAATACCTGGACCCATAGGGTGAAACAGGTTCAGGAAAGTCGCATCCGCATTTGCGGAAGCCATGGCACGGTCTCTTGCAACAGTGGAATCTTGAGCCGGTCTGCATGGGGTTCAAGGTAGGGTCTGAGATTTAGGGCCTTGGGCGTGGGCGGCGAGTTACCGTTGGGCTTTTCGGGTCGGGAGTTGCCGTGCCAAGCCGCATCATGAATGTCAGCTGAGATATGCTGGCAACCCTAAACCCTCAACCCTAGACGCGTTCCTGGCATGGCGATGGTCGTTTGAAACGCCGGAGACGTAGTATCTGACTGATTTCGAGCATTTTTGAGCATTGACTCACATCCCGCTTGTCGTGAAGCGACAGCAAAGCTCTACATCCCTGACCATCGCTTGTTTTTCGGGGGCTTGATGGAGCATCGCTCGTCCACGTAGCGGCGGAGAAGTTGCCTCGGAACAAGACTCAGAGGGTGAATGGCTTCTGGGTTTGGGGTTTAGGATTGAAGGTTTATGGCCCACAGGACCCAGGAATCCTGAAGGGGCGCGCTAGTTATACTTGGGTTGTGAATACGTGGAGCCCTTCTAAACTCCTCCAAAAGTTTTAAGAGGTCCGAAATAAGTGAATTGGGCTTGTCAAGATAAACCGGCATGTTGGCAAGGGTCCCTTTTCAGGGCCGTTAGGGTTCAGGGATTTCCCAACCCTAAACCGAAACCCTACACGCTATACAACCCCCCGGAGTTCGGATTTGTAGTTTACGTCTAACCCGAAACCCTAATCCAACCCTTTTGCTCTGACCGCTGACCTTACAACACTTTAACCTGGAACCCTGAAGCCCTACCGAACTCTTACAGAAACCGTTGAGGAGCTCTTCACCGGACCCCAGAAGTTATAGGGGCCTTATAATAGCTAGAATAAAACTTTGAGGGTTCCAAATTATTAGTATAGTATCATGTATATCATATAGCCCCAAACTCCCAATTGAGGTCCCTCCTTGAACCACATCTCATGCGAACCCTTGGGGGGGCTAGGATACTTCCTTAAATAGTCCTTTATTAGGTCCTTACTATGGGTTCCTTAAATAAGCCTTTATTATATAGGTCCTTATTATGGGCATTAAGGCCCCCAGGCCCTACCCCCTCTCACCCCACACCCCGAAGGGTCCCTATGAACATCCCATTGCGACGGAGAGTCTTTGCTTCTGCGTGGGCGTCCTGCCGCTCCCTCACAGCCGCCTGGCCGAGGACGTTAGACGGGAGTTCTCGAAAATTAAGGGTAGCTTAGGGTTCCTTCAAAGGGTTACTA